CCTTTTTATCTGTTTCCATACACCCCAAATTATGCATGTATGAAACTCACTGTGCAGTTTATTGGTTTCAGATTAAAATTAATTAATCCCTTTTCAGTGACAGACGAATGCAGATGACTAAAATGCCAAAAGTCTTTTTCACTGTCCATCAGGAAACAAAAAAAAATTAAAACAGAAGTCTTAAGATGGCAATAAATGCTTCCCTTACTCAATTCAAAGCCTTTGAATTTGAAGGAGTCTTTTGGAATAAAATTGCAAAGCCAAYTGAGGAACTGCAATGAGCCTTCAGAACAGACAGTTCTGAAAACAGTACTTGGGAGCCACCATTATCACTGTGTTGCTTGAGCTACTTTCTATTTTTCCATCAAAAGTACATCTCCATTGCAGAATAAGACTCCTCACTCTAAAATGAACCTGAAAATGCCATAATTCAAGGTAGAAATTACTTGCCTACTTCATCCATCCAATACTTTAGCGCCCAGAACTAGAGTTCTAATTTCACTGTCAGCTGAGAGAATAAACCACCCCTATTACCATCTTTTAAGGTATTTCCATCCGCAGTCCCACTAATCACACAAACACTGCAGGGGTCCACCTCACCCAGAGACAAGGTGACAAACCAGGACAGAGTGAGGGAGACTCCCTGCTGACAGGGAGACTTTTCAGAGCACTAAAATCACACACATTAGAAGGGGAAGAGCTTGCACAGCCTTTATTCTGCCCTTTCAAGCTAGACTGGATGATAATGTGGGCCTTCAGCATATGAAGAAGTACTGAAAACAGCAGGTGAAGCAGTGGCCCCAGAAAAGGGAGTGTACCTTTTGCCTGTCCTTTAGATCCCAACATATTGTCCCAGGAGCATAAGCTCCTTCCACACCCAGAGGGGAGCAGATGGGTCCTCAGCAGACATGTAAATAAAGCACATGTGAACCGTGAAAAGTACAAGTACACACACAGCATGTCTGGCTGTGCCAGAGGGAGCCAASTGCACTTATTTGTATTCTGAAACCCAGAAGCTTAGTATCTGAAGCTTTCATTTCAATGAAGCTTTTTTTTTGTTAAAAATGAAACTATAGCTCTTTAGTTTATAAAAATATTTGTCCCGTTTGCCTGTTGGCTTTCTTTCCTGTTGGCTTTCTTTCCTTTTAACCAAATTAAAGATTTKTGTTCCACAGTTGAAGCACAACATTCGCATTAACTTGTAATGCATATTTAAAATGTTTAAAATGTAAAAAAAAACCCAATATTTTTTGCCCTATTGAGTTCTTAACAGACTTCCATTATTTTAATACTAAGCATGCTACAGTTGTGCAGATTATACTTAATGGCTGCATGGCAATAAAGAGAACAAATTATGAAATAAACTAAGCATGTGAGATAGTAAAAAAAGGAAAGAAAAATTGTCTTTATGGTATTAAAATGGCCAGGTAAAACAACCATTAAAAAAAATCCAAGGGAAAGGCAAAAACCTTGGGGAAAAAAAAAAATTAGAGCTGACATTAAAACTTCCCAATCCTTTAATTGTTAAAAAAATCCAAAAATTAATAGTATCACCTGAGGATTGAAATGGTGGTATTTGGGAAAACCCTGATGCAAGTGCTGATGAGAAAGAATGAGACTCCATTGAAATGACTGAACCTCTAGCTCCTAGAAAGGAAAAGGTTCCAGAATTAAAAATTACACCTATAATTAAGACTGAAGTGCTCAAAGGACATCAAGGAGGTCGGAGAAAAAACATGGTCAGAACYATTCTTTGGGACCCCATGCAAGGGCCAAATCTACAGGACAAACATGGATGAAAACCAAGGGGGAGTCGGAGACTGAGTATTTGTGGAAAGTGAGTCTCTCAGGAGGCAGAATATTGCTGGATGGAAGCTGATGGATACTGGGGGTCAGGAATTTTATTAAACCTACAATCTGAGCCTATCAAACAGCCCCATTCAATAATCAGCAGCATTGYATATTGGGAAGGAAGAATAGAAGTTATGGAAAGAGCACAACCAGCTTCCATACCCATGTGGTCATCTCATGAAATATTCACCAAGGGCAACTTGCTGCAGGCAATGTATGGACACTTCAACAGAGACATCCCAGTCTCCCCAGAAGTCGATCCCTGTATATTAAGACCTCTATTGAAAGAAGCCCTGATAACATTAAAAACATTTTCAGTGGTGTGACAAGACAAAATGAGAGGAAATGTAATACTGAAGTGCTACAAGATCCCCAAGCCCCAGGATGATCTGTCCTCATGGGCAGGACTCTTTTATGACACAGTAAACTATGCAAGGAAAATAGGCTGGGAAACCCAGCCTGGAGAACAAACTTGGGTCTTGGAGAGAAGCCCAAAAACTGAAGTATGGAGAATTCCTGAGTGCCAAGTGAGGGTTTTTAAACATAGCCTGCCTGAGATAAAAGAAAGATCAAAACACCTCTGAAGCAAAATGAGTTGTAGAGGATGCCAGCAGCTTTGGGTACTCCCCATACAGCTCTTAGGGGACAGTAGCAGACCTAGTGAAAATAGTTCAAGAGGGAAACATAAAAACAAAAAGCCTTCACAGAAAAAACATACCTGCAATCCTTTGATGAGAGGGAGACAAAAGAAAAAAATTTCACTAAGTGAAGGGAGAACTTCAATGTTTATCTGCTGGCGCAAGTATAACCGACCATTGGGCTGATAATGACAAGCCCCATATTTACTTACCAGTAGGACCTAGAAAACCACCTTTGAAATATGTAATTGACAGAGGAGCCCAAACTTCACTTMACACTCCAATGGATGCTGAGAAATAAAAATAAATAGGGCCTGTCCACCAGAATTTAATGGACAAAATATTATATGTCATACTGCCAAAGTCTCTTTATGGTTACCCAGGAAAAGACAGTGGACCTCACACACCCTTGCAATCACAGAGCATGAAGAAAATACTGTAGGACACAATATCTTTGAAGGAGAGATTTGACAATTGTCTGATGGGAATGTTTGGTCATTCAGGCCCATAAAATCTCCAAATTTGTTTTCTAAAGAGAATGAAAAAATTAAACATCTAATGGTTTTAAGCACATACTGACAGGAGTGGAAGTGTTATCTGGACTGTTAGCTGTCACTAAAATCAGAAATGCTGATTCTAAAGCTACTATTTGAGGACTCTATAATTGGTTTTCTGGTCTTCCTGTACCAGATTACATATGAAGTGACAATGCATCACATGTGACCACAGTGATGGTACAAGACTTGACCAGAAAGGAGGGTATCAAGGGAATTTTTYATACACCTTACTATCCCCAAGGAAACAAGATGGTGGAATGTGCTGATGGTTTATCAAAGCACTACTTTACACTTCATGAATCTGGATGGTATAAAAGGTTACCCTCTATGTTACAGGACATAGATAAAGGATAAGGACCATGGTATAAYGCTGACTTCTGCAACCCTGGCTTTCTGTCAAGGGCAGTCTTTGACAATGAGGGTTGGCTGGGCAAGAGGATACTCACATTGYAGCACAGCTCACAGCTCCTACAGCCTGCTCTGCCTGGGCTTCAGGCCACTGCATCTTGAGATGTGACCAGAACAGAATGCACAAAAGACAACAGCTTTGTAGGAGGYGACCATAGAAGCTCTTCCTTTAACTACTTCACTACAAGCTACCTGCGTTCTGACTACAGTGGAGCTCCCACACACGGTCAGAAGGGAGTGAAGAATTTTGTTTTAAATGTTCAAGAGTTAGAATCATGGAATAGTTAAGGCTGGAAAAGACCTTTAAGATCATCAACTCTATCTGTCAACCCAGCACCATCACCATGTTCACTATTAAACCTTGTCATCGAGTGTCATATCCATATATTTTTTTTAATATTTCCAGGGATGGTGACTCTATCACCTCCCTGGACAGCCTTTTCCATTGTTTTATAATACCTTCTCTGAAAAAAATTTTCCTAATATCCAATCCATGCCTCTCCTGGTGCAACTTGAGGCTATTTCCTTTCATCCTGTTACTTGTTACCTGTGAGAAGAGACTCAATTCTACCTGGCTACAGCTTCCAATGCTCACTTTTACTATCAGGTCTTTATGTTTGGTGGAAAAATAATCACAGAAAGAACCAAGAGCTTCTCCAAACATATACTCAAGCTCAAACTAGAGAATCTGCTGTCTTGAACATCTTCTGCTAGTTACACAAGACTCACAAAGCCTGGAAAAGCTGAAGTAACAAGCAAGCATCACTTCTTCAATAAACTTAGTGGCTTTCCAACCATTTCTGTCAGCAGGTGGAGTAAAAACAGCATTAAATACAGAGAGATAAATATTTCCCTATATATGTCTATCCATCAAATATGACCATACATACATAYATTTATATATTCTAGCTCTTTCAAAAACGGGGGTAAGGGGAATTTCACTCTATAAGATAAGAAAAGCAGTTTCTCAAAGAGGATGTTTATGACTAAATTTGCAAATTGCTGCCATGCTGCCACAGCACAGAGGGGACAAATTCTGGAAGGGCCTCCAGTATCTCTKCTATATCAATCAGCAATCAGCAGCTATCAGCTAACTGGAATTGGTGTCTGTGTTCTTCCCCCAGGGTCTAGTCAACTCTTTTACATAGAGTCAAGAAGGTAACCAGGGATCCTCAGGGACAACGAGGGGTCCTTTGGAAAAAAGCAGCTCCTTTTCTTTACCTTTTTGCAGGACATAACAGTGGGAAAATAGTCAAAGTATGGTTCTTATTTCACTTTACCAAAAGCATAAGGACAGAGCCATACTAGCTTAACTTTCAAGGAACCTAATAAACCATACACGGCCTTTTGTGCTGTGTGCATGAAGCCAGGAATGTGGTGGCTGTGCACAGGTGCATTTCCTAAGCAGAAAGAAATTTGGCAATTCCAGTCAGCTAGACTAAATGAACACTTCCAAAACTATTCAAGCATGTGATTCTATTATTTCACTGGTTTAATTGAAGACCAAAAGCCACTGTGACACAATAGTGTTTATCTCAGTACTGACCATTTTCTTGAAGGATTCCTGTGGAAGCTTTTACTGTCTGCTTTACTTTTGTAGAATTGACAGAAAAGTGTTGTCTGGACACAGAATTCTCTGGATTCTGGCTTTTTTTGTCTTTCCTTTTGGGAAGCTGGGTTGAGGAACTATTTTCTCCTGGGTCACTGGATTCAATGGTAGATTTAGATTGCCGATCATTTCCCTGAAAAGAAGAGTACATAAATATCAGTGACACAAATTTAAAAGGTTATTTTTAAAATTTCATTAGGGACTGTTATCAGATGTTAAAGAAGMATCATAATTTACAAACAGTACATTTAAGTGATATCTTAAATTATCCAGAAAAGTATAACTATCTCATCAACTTACTGTATGATCTGACTGATTAAATTCTCAACAACTTCCAGGAGAAAAATCACRTATTTATCACATAGTCACATGCAAGAAAATAATTCTTCATTTAGGGAAAAGTACGGCTAGATGAATCTATGCATATTATATACAGCTATATCTCATCCATATATGTGGAAAGTCACAAGATGTAACACATTAGTATAACTTGTTAATAAATTACTGTCTGTGTAAATGGGATATGGGCATTATTYTAGTGTCAGGAAAAGCTGGAGGAGAATGACAGCCTTCATGGGCCAGCAGCACATTCAATAGAATGGAACATGAATTTGTACATTTTATTGCTTACTCCTTTTTAGTGGCTCCAGAGATTTTTTTTTTGGGGTGTTGTAAACAGTGAATGGACATGATCAGCCACCACAATTACAATGACAGACTGTGAGTCTGACTCCCTGCTGTCTTGTACTTGTACAGCAAACTTCACTTGTGGAGAACTGGTGAAAAGATRCTGATATTCTGTTTTGACACTGTTTTAAATCCACAGAGGACTCTCCTTGTAAGCAAGATGGGGTTCAGCCTCTTCTCCCAGTCAGCAACCAASAGGACAAGAGGAAACAGCYTCAAGCTGTGCCAGGGGMAGTTCAGATTGGATRTCAGGAAAACTTCCTTCACTGAAAGGGTGATTAARCATTGGAACAGGCTGTCCAGGAAGTGCTGGAGTCACCATTCCTGGAAGTGTTTAAGAAACARCTGGATGGGCACTCTGWGTTATGGTTTAGTTGATGTGGTGGTCATGGGTCAAAGATTGAACTCCATGACCTTGGAGGTCTTTTCCAACCTTAATGGTTCTGTGACTCATTTTGTACACATATAAATATAATACAGGATATAAAGCAGCAAAGGATCAAGCTCTGTATGTAGTGGTTACCTAGAACAAAATATTTTGGATTGAAAACTGGTTTAGGACCTGTTCCAGATTCAGCATTCAGAAACACCCTTTTCTGTGAGAAGCTTTGYATAAGGTTCTGTGATTTTTCTTTAGGTGTATAGTTGGAATAAATAAATAAATACACAAATACATATGATCAGGTTTATGGGAAAGACCTCAAGGCAGCAGCTGATCTTTGYYATGGAAGCTTTTATAAAAAACAAAWCAGCCATTATCACAACAACAATATTTTCTCAGATTTCTTCTGTCTAATTGAYGCTGCAAATAGCTACAGATTTATCAGGCTTTAATAAGCATGCCACCAGGTGGCTGTGGATTTTTTCTCTTTAGATTTAATTWAAACCCAAAGGACAGGAACTTTCCATCTGCCAGAAATCAGATGAGTTAAGAACTTCATACTTACACTGCCTTTAGACTTTCGAGATCCCACAATCGGAGGCAATACAGAGGTTTTGGAACTGCAGAAAGGAGCAATATCTTAGAATTGTGTACACTATCACTATCACAGACATTATGTATCCATAATCAAGGCAGATAACACCAAGGTGGCTATGGCAACAGAGGTAATTGTTTTTTCATTTAATGTTTTCACTAAGAATCACTCATTCCTGTTTACCAGACTATATTTAAATGCATAACCATTAGCTTATTCAAACAAGTGCATCATCCCACAATGCATACTTTATATACCAAAAATTTGCAGCACAGTATTCAGTGAATTACTATGTGAATGTTCCTTACAATTTCCATTATTTTCCATTTATTTCAATGAAATGGTTCCAAATTTTTATGGTTTTCAAAGATACAAAACACACTATTTTCTCCTAACAGACACCCAGTTTAGGACTCTACTATGTGACTGTTCTAGCCGACAACAAATAGACATAAAGCAATCTTAAGAGAGTACATATTTCACAAAACATTACTAAGTGAGAGTAGACCTAAACTGCTGTAGCTGCACCTAATCTCATTCAGCTGTGCATATTTCTACCCCAAGGGAAAAACAGGATTATTCTGACTTGGATTACWTTTTTTCTGACACTAATTTTGTGATACAAGACCAAGGGAATGCTTGCGAGATGAAATGGTCTCTGAATTTCCATTTTCATTTTTGTTTTTCTTGTCTCAGCTTTCTCAGAAGTTGCCAGTAAAGTTTTGCATCCATACTAGCCCATGCATTGTTCTTGGAATAATGATTTCCTACTTTACTGGTGGCACTTTGTAAACAAATGGACACACACAAACACAGGAGAAATGTATCACACACCTTTAGAACTTACCCCCGCGGCCTTCTTGTGGTAGATTTGGACAGCAGATCACCATATGGCAACTTCTTAAACTTTTCTCTACCCGCTGCAACATAAATTTCCCCATTCTCCAAGTCTGACCCATCCTGAACAAGTTTTCCACCTACAGTGTAAAGTCTGAAAAAAATRAAAATGTTTAATATAATAAACCTTAACATTCAATTAGCTGTATTAAGAGCTTTGAAAGCTATGTTAATCTAAACTCACTAAATCTATGATCAATGTCCATATATGAAACTTAATAAAGTGCAGTGRATGACATACAATGATCAGTACTACGTTTTTTAAAAAGCCTACCCAACTAACCAAACAACTAAAAAAACTCAAAACCAAATATAAACAAACATACAAAACACCAAGGAAAAATAGCAAAGTCATTTGTTAAATCATGGTTCATACAAAATTAAGGAAGTATGAAGTGCTGTAACAGGTTAAATACCCTCACAATTTCTAGAAAGAAATAAATGACTTTATATTTATAAGGTCTTCAATATCTTTCCCCTGCTATYTCAGAAGGGATCTATTCCATGACTTCCTGACCCCCCTCTCCAACCAAGTTCCACCTTCCATCTTTGCTCGGGGAACTATGCAGCAGCCTGGGAAGAACAGGGAATTCACGACTGAAAGCCCAGGACCTGTCCACCTAACACAGACTATGCCAATAATATTGCATTGATATTGTTTCATTGTGCAGATCAGAAGGCTGGAACCTGATGGGAGCAACAGGAAATACAGTTCTACATTAAAACAAGAAGCCCTGTWTCTTGGGCACCCACCAATAATGAATATATCTACCACAATGACTTCTGTTTGAGAAGAAAGAATGTATCAGAGGTTGGCACGGGGAATTTGCTTCATTGTCCAGTTTGTGATTTTATTTTAGCATGGTCCAAACAGTGAGTAAGGAGGGAACATTCAATAATAAATTAGCTCTTTCCTAAGAAGCACAGTCCAGAACTCAACAATATTTTTATTTAATTTAAAATCAACAATAGCAACTTCCATTTAAGTCTTAAATGCAGGAATGCTGAGTGACTAATAGTCATAAATTTCAGCACAATGGAAGGAGATGTAAAAATATGAACACAACAGCACAATGAACRTTTTAGGAAGAATATCAAGAAGCTACCTATGAGTACACTCTTGACTTAAAACATGCAAAAATTTTCAGTTTAATAGAGAAAGAGCTTTTTTTAATTGATACATATGATGGCACGACCTTGAATAAACACAGAAGAAAAWCAGGCACTTTATTGAACCAGGAATCACAGAATATCTGAGGTTGAACAACATCTCTGCAGACCACCTAGTCCAATCATACCTTGCAGAACAAGAGCAACTAGAGTAGGGGTATTCAGGACTGTCTCTAAGTGTGTTCTAAACACCTGCAAGGATGGAGACTCCAATGCCTCTTGGGGCAACATGTTCCAGTATTTGATGACCAACACTGTAAGCTACTTTTTTCTTCTAGTCAAGAAAAATTTCCTGTATTTCACTTTGTGCCCATTACCTCTTGTCCTGACACTGACACCRCTGAGAAGAGTCAGGCTGTGTCTTCCTCACTCATTCCCACCAGGTACATAAACACATTCAAAAAATCCCCCTGAGCCTTCTCTTCCCCAAGCTGCAGTCCCAGCTCTCCGCATGACAAGTATCTTCAAGTCCTTCTTCTCTGTGGCCCTTTACTGTGCTTGTTCCAGTATGTCCCCATCTTTCTTGTATTACCCTCAAGAAAGCACCCCAATTTTCTATGGTATCTTGCCATATGGGAATATATTTCTAAGTGCAAAGGCTGAAAGTTTTGAAAGGTGAAATTGAAGCTTTTTAAAATATAGATCACATTGCTKCTTCCTTGAGAAGAAGTATGCTAACTCTGGAGCACCCCATTTGTATCACTCATATTTACTTCATAGCACAAACACTCCACAGGCATGCCAGCAATTCAAACAGCAATTTATATTCCACTACCACAGAGCCAACATCAGCTACACACAAACAATGAAAATAAGACAAGCTATTGGAAAATCAGCAGGCAGCCTATTTCTGAATTAATCTCACTGTGTTCTGCTAGATTGCACTTCGCTTTGGGAACTCAGGGGAAAAAACAGCARATCAGTGTACCACAGTTTCAGAATTGTTTCTGTATTTGTATGGAGCTGMAGATATAGAGGGTGCATACAAAACAACTGTTTTTTTGTTCCTGATCTTTCTTTTTGCTTTCCTGATCTTTCATGTTATATTTAAAGCATGGAAATTGTTTGTTTAATATAACTTACAAAAATGTTACAGATTAGGTATCAAACTGTAATTTTCACGCTTAAAATTAGTATTCAATAATTATTTTTCACCCTGAAAATAGTAATCACAATAGCAAAACCAAASATCTGAAGATAAAAGTGAAATCAAAAATGGATCTTCAAATAAATGTCAATTTAACAAACATACACATTTTGTGACACTAATTTTTGAAGCGACTTTTTCACAATTTTTGAATTTTGAAGCCACAGTTTTCACCCAMCCACTTGGCCACAACCAYTCACAGACCAGCTGAGTTCTCTCTWGTATTATGTAACAAAAATGTCCTTGTGGTCACTTCTTCGAAGGATGACCTAGGTTTGCTTTGTGAGATTATCAGTGGACTTCCATTTTCCCTCCTGAATGCAAGCTAAAAAGTGACAACCAAAATAAAGCAAGCATGCAGACAGACAAGGGAGACAGTGAAGACACAACTTCTGGGACAACATCCCCAMATTCCCAGTGGCTGATGCAGCCAGTACGTGCCTATCAGGTTACTGTAGCCCATCCCCATTAACAATCTGGCAAGCAGACCAGCTGTTTTCTCATCATCTCCTCTCTCATATGTCTTGCTTACATCCCTATTCTGATCAGGATGATCAATAATTTATTTTTTTAAAGCCCTATGAGAAACTTTAAGACTTGRCAGYTTTTAAMYYYTTTWMYWA